TGTTGGCAGCACTTACCCTGTTAGACACATTCCTCTCTGGAAGTAAAATGAGTGGTGTGTACCACTTCCTGGATATAAAGCAGAACCAGGAGAGGTGGTGCCTGGGACCAGGAGGAAATGCCTGGTTTTATGCCAAATCAGGCAAGTGGCCCCCTGTATTACAGCAGACATAAGTGCTGCGCTGTCCATGACACTGTAGTAATGTGCCTCAGCTACACCAGAAGGCTTGGGCTGCCTCTCAAAACATTGCTCTCACCTACAGTGAGCTCAAAATCAGCCCTAGATGGTCTTCTACCACAGTTCCAAAACTCACCTGGTTTTTGTTCATAAGCCCATGTCCAACAACATTCTTTGCAGAGAAAAAGCACTTGGACAATGACAGTCCCTTTTGGAAGAAATGGTACAGTCTGCTTGTATATTATCTATGCAAATCCTGAAGAAATATGGTGAACAGTTGAGAGCAGCCAATGACACAGTCACTGACTTATTGATGTCTTATGCTAAAGGCACTTAAGCAATTCAGTAGTTGTGTCCCTGTTCCCATTCTGTGTCTTCATAAGCAAATGCCATGTCAGTATTTTATTTCTACAGTGCAGATGAGGAAAGAGCTGGTCTTGGAACCTAAATGTGTCCCGCTCTAGCTGCACAGGCTTTTGCCTTGCCTTTGGGGTAAAACTGCACAAGATAGATGCCATTTGTGCAAAGCAGGCAGCTAAAAAAACAAACAGATTGCAACTTGTCGTGGTAACTTGTTAAGAGAAGCATCAAGATCTTTTATTATTAAAGGAAGGAGAATATTTTTAAGCAGTTGGTGAAGCCAAAAAAACCCTCACTTGGAAATTTTTTTTCAGAAAAGATGCATTTAAAAAGGGTGGGGATTTTTTTCCCATAGGAAAATTAATTGGCTTGTTCTCAGCTTCCTGGACGCTGGGAATTCAGCCATTTTCTTCCTTGTAATGCCTACCTGTTTCACTGCCACTGCCAAATTTTGAACACAAGGCATCCTGGAAGAGAGGATGCTACCTTTGTCTGAGTACCTGTCATCCTCCTCTGCTCTCTCGTTTGCCAGACACTTAAAAAGAAATCCCCCAAACCTTCAAAGGCCAAGCCCATAAAACCCAGTGCTAATCTTCTTACGTGAGTGTCAGTTTAACATGGCAGCAGGCTGGTGAATAATGCTTAAGTAAGATAATCGTTTCCCTACAAGATGACACAGAGCCTTTGCCTCTTTGTCCTCCTTAAAAAAAAAATACAGTGAATATTTATGGGCACACCTCAGTATAAAAGATTACGAGCAGTAAAAAAGAAAGAGTACGTTATATGACCATATCCAACATTTTCTGCAAAGATAATTAACAGCTCTAGGACAGCTAATTTACATGTTAATGAAAGTGTTAGCAGGAAAGCCAATTAAACTGGATTTATACAAGTCAAATAAAATCTGCTTTATTACCCTCCTTGAATAAGAGACGGATGTGGCCTTTAGCATTATATCTTATGTCTCTGTATGTGGCAAGCTGCCCAGTAAAGTATGAATCCCAGCAGCTAGCCTGGTTCATGCTGTCAGTGACAGCATATACTGTTCGACTGCAGCAAATCAAGGGAAAGGGACAGACAGTCCAGCTGAAAAGGTTACAGTGCAGAATGAGGAATCTCCTGTCTCAATAAATTATCTTCCACACTGGTGACCAACATCCCAGCCAAGTGTTTTCTCAGAGGCAGGTACTTGTGACCTGGGTTCTAGTTTCAGTGGTCAGGGGAAGCAAAGGAGGGCCAGACTTGCTCTGTGTTTGGGAAACTCCCACAGAAAACTAGACTGCAGGAAGCAGCGATTCATTCGTTCTTATTCAGAATTAAGCCAGGCCCCAGCACCATGAGAAAAGAGTCCAAGTAACCTGAACCATGGTTATCTAATGTCCACAGCTATCCTCAGATCCGCTGCTCATCCTCATTCAGACATTATCAATGGAAACTCCTGTTGTCAGTGACAGCTGTCAGTCTTCAGGGCCATATAATGGGTGGGAGGGAATGGCTATTCCATGACATTTTTCATGTCATGAACCCAGCACTTGGGAAACTAAAAACTGTTGACAGCAAAGCCAGGTATGAATAATTTACCAGGTGCAAGTATACAAGTGTCTGCATGCTTATTTAATGAGAGATTTTGGGAAGAGTAGACTAACGCTACACTGCAACTTCAAGCTGCAGCAAGCATCCTGCTTTGGGGTGAGGAAGTGGTTCTCCTTGGTATAGCAACTGCCTGATTTAGTTTTTTCAGGCGAGTGATCACTGAAACAAACAAAAAGGAAGAGAACCAAAATTAAAATATTACTGGGAACTTTCACCATGACCAAACAAGATTTTTGCTTTTCTCCTTTTTGTCTGGAATTGCCTTTTTCACCAGATGGAGAATTTCTCATTTCTTGCCAGCTGCTCCACCTGGCACCATGAAGCACAAATCACAGTGAAAGCCAGTTCACACTACTGTAATCACAGCCATTAAAAACTCGATGACTGTTGCTACTAGAAATACCAGTACAGTCATACAAGAGTACTGGACAACAAGTGCAAGAGGACTGACCAATCCCTATTAGCCCTCCCTTCCTGTCTTACTGTTTTACTCCTGGATGCCACAATGCAGATGAAACACCATCTTCTCAGACAACTCACACACATCCGCTAACCACACCTGCAGCTGGGGCCCAGGCTAGATGGGATTAACAGCATAGTTTGAGATCTAAGAGTTTACATAAAGGCACTGCTCTCAATTAATGTGACACCAGGAAGCAAAAAACATAAAGTTCTTAATGGGAAGCAAACACGAATGCTACGCAACAGACCTGCTGGCACTTGAACCAATGTCTGTAAATGCTTCAGGAGGCACTACTGCAAATACAAAAGCGAAACTGAAAAACTATTCGGTTTGGCAAAACATCACTGACCAGCTGCCCCTCAGTACCGAAGATGAACATTACATTGTTCCAGCAAGACACAATCACTAAACCATAATGCAGAACTATAACAAAAGTGAACATGATCCAGAGCATTCATTTGGCAGATCATTAACCTTTAATACATTTTGTGATGTATCGAAGACATTTTTAAAATCACATTACTGTATTCAAAAAAAAAAAACCCAACAAAAAACGCAAATCCAACAACCCCCCTGCCAAATATTAGTTTTAAAAGTTACACATATATAAATAGTTACAAAAAGCAAAACATTGCCTTAGGAATTCCAGTTCCAGTAACAAAACATAGATGTATTTACTAAGATTAATGTTTAGTGTCATTGATCTGAATCCCTGTAAGCCAAAGAAGTCTATTAAAATCAATAGATTTGTCACACTAAACAAGTAGTCAATTATTAGAAGTCTTGTCTATTCACAATGAATTCCACATACTCTCTTCTTTGTGAATACAAAGTGTACTAATATATTTAGACTCTGAAGGCAAACCACAGTGTAAAAAGGATAGAGCTGTTTAGAAATTACAACAGGTCTGTTACATTTTCTACATGAAACACTGCGATGCAGCATTCTTACCTACATCTTGGTGGTGGGGGGGAAATGCTCTTTTTGCCAGTGTAGTGCTGTACATTCTCTGTACTGCTCTTGTGAATTTTAGTACCAGACCCCCTCATGTCAAGGCTCAACTTCTAAAAGTGTATTTTAAGATGCAGTGTCTTCCTGGGCTGGAGTGCTCTGAAGTGGGAACAGACGAGGTGGCCTCAGGACTGGCAGGACTGCAGCGCCCACTGGCACCAGAACCAAGCCCACACAGAACCACGAGGTGCATCCCACCTCTCTGGTAGCTTTCCTAGCCATAATTTTAAGGCCAGTAACATTAGATCCATCTCACATAAGTGACGTTAGGAGACACCCCAGGCCTGTCATCAGTACAGGCCTTACTTAACAACTGGTCAGCAAAGGTAATACAGCTTTATCATAGCCTATGCTTGTTTTCAAGAGGGTTGGGGGTGTAAAGAAAGGAAGGAGAGACCACAATTAGACCAGGCTGCTCTTAACTACAGTGCAAACTATCTAAGACTTCAAAAAGTGACTGTGCACTGCCATTTTTTTGTCTAAAAATACTGATTTCTCATCAGTACTGTTAAGGTACCCTAAACATAAACAAACTCAAATAAGACAACACTGCTGGTTTTCTCTGTATCTACACCAATAAATATACTTGGGCCCCAAGAAACCAAAACATCTGTGGTGATCCACATTTCCAGGGGTGCCTTATGATCATCCGAATTTTTTCCTGCTTTACTTTTCTCTACTAAAACATCAGCTTTTTTGTCAGGGCCTACATTTTTCTTAATCCACCTGAGCATTTTCAATGCTCTTCTTTAAATCAGCTAAAGAAAAGGTTCTGTACGAGAAACAGGAGCCAGGGATTTGAACGTATACCATCTTCTCAGAACATCCCAAGAATAAAGCAGAAGAGTTAAGCCTCTGTTCTGTATCTTCCTTGTGAACAGGCACAGAACTGCCCTGTGTCTGACCAGAGACACGCTGTCCTAAAGAAAGAATCTCATACGTTGCTAAGATTAGGAGAGAAATGTACAAGAAGATGAATATTTTCTTTTGTTTTCATTAATACAGACAAGGTAAAAACCATGACAGTTGTCTAAGCAAGACAACCTACCAACCCATCTCTTTCTCATGCAGAAAAGAGATGCCATATTTGCTGACAAATCTGGATGCTCTATTAAATGAAAAGGCAAATGACAAAATCTCCTGTAACTGGGCCACTAGACAAAAATGCTACCTTCATTTATTTGGATATTGTTTCTCCAGGCTCCTGTCAGACTACTTAGCATGGACAGTAAACCAACACTTTGCGGCAGCTTCTGTGCCTTTTTGTCACAATAAATAATCACCTCAGTTAATTGTTTCTAATCCTCTCTGTAAGACTTTGTCCCAGATGTATATTTACCTGTCTCCAAAGCAAGGTTGTGTCTTTTTGCTAAAAGAAGATATCCTGGGCACACATTTTCTTTTTGCCAGGTCTGTATTTGTTTTGAATGTATTTTAGAAATAAATTGCAGAGGTGTCTAAGTTGGAGATGTACTGAAAATTATTCAGCTGCAGATACTATTGACATAGTACTTGTGTAGTTCTGCAGATCCCCTAACAAATAAGAACTTTCTGTGTCACACCAAATGGAGGGCACAAATAGCCAAGGATAGCAAATACTCAATCTCTAAGTTCTTGGGCTAAAACATCCTGAATGAACTTCAGTGTACGTTGGTACAGGAAAGCATCCTTCTTCTTTGGCTTACAAATATTTAGATGATTAACATCCACTGGAATAAGGTCTCCAATTCCTAAGTCTGGGAGAGGGAAAAAAAAAAAAGAAGAAAAAACTACTAAAGTTCATAAGATGACCTAGACTGAAAAGCACATCTTGTATTAGCAATTTCTCTCTCAAAAGCAACCTCTCCTGTCTTCAGTGTAACTGTTTGGTCCTCATTATTTTTTAATGTGCTAGAAACATCAGTGCACATTGATACGGTCAGACAGAGCTATACACTGCCAAAAATCCACACTAGTAAACCATTAGGCCAGAGTTCTACCATGTTTGTTTGATATACACAAATGTACATTTTTTTCATATAGACAACTCCAATGACACAAAACGTCATTTACCAGCACCTGACGGACAGCACAGTTGTGACTGAGGTTTAAGCATTGATATGATCAGGGATAGGGTTTAATCCACAGTATCTTGAATCTGATCACCACTAATTGCCCATATTCCTCACAAAAATGCTTTGATGTGGAGATTAAAAATTGGACTAGAATTAACCTGAAATATGCCACAATCACCACACACATTTCTGGGCAAATGAAATATTAACACTATGGCATTTAGTCTTTCCTGACAGCTATCACTACTAACTTTCCAGTTAAGATGCCATGACTGCCACATTCCAGTTTATTATCTATTCACTTAGCAACCTCGAAATCCTTCACTTTGCTTTGAACTCTGTATCTTTAACCATGTAAAATTACACTAGAGCAGAATGAAGCTTTGCTTTTGTGTGCTCAAGCACACATGCAAGAAACATGGAGTGTACTGTTCATCAGCCTGCATTTTGAACAGAACAAGTGCTGTGCCGCCGAACTGTCATGTACCCTCTAAAGGTTTGCAAGAGTGCTCACATGCTGCATCGTGTACCATCTCTAGAAGAGGAGAAATGCTACAAAATTATAAGTGCACACACAGTATTAATTTGGGCTCTGTCATTCAGCCCTCTCTTTAATTTTATTTTGCTAAATCAAAAAAAAACAAACCAACCAAAGTCTTGTTTTTCAGTCCTTGCCAATCAAATTGCATCAGCAACATTTTTGCAAACAATTGCTGCTCAAGAAGACATACTGTAAAAATGCTGCTAAATATTGACTCAGAAAAACAGGGATGTATAGCTCACCTTCTTCAGAGCAACTGACCTTGGACTTAAGGTAGTGGATTTAGCTGGTGGAAAGCCTGATATGAAACCCAACAAAGCAATGGTTTCTGTTCAGGGCCTTACAGATACTTTGGGTAGAGCAAAAGAAGGTTTTGCTTCATGAAAACCCAAAAATGTAAGACTTAAAACAATTCTCTAAGTTGAGCACCCATAAAAAAAGCAAGGGAAAAAACTGCCTGGTCTTCCTTCCTCCTACGAAAGGCAAAAAGATGGAGGAAACTCTTCAGGAAGAAAACTCTACTGCTTGAGTATCCAAGATGTGCTAAAAGATTCCTAACACTGAAACCCAGTTTTGTGAATTTTTTTCTCCATTAGCAGTTTACTAATTTTCTGTCTTATTTTCTTAAAGGAGGAAATAGCTAGAATTTGTGGAAGCATCTGAAACACTATTTAGCCTATCTATACAAATATAAACCACAATTAGTCATAATTGCAAAGGAAAGGACTCCAACAGCGTAACATTAGACCAGGTTTTATCCTTCTTTTTTCAACAAGCAAATGTTACTTGCATTTAGAAAAACCAAAACAATCAACTGCTATTCTAAGATCTAAATGTAGCTGCTTCAGATCTCAGCAGGGAAACTGCAGTTTAAACTCAGACAAAAGTTTAAGTGAAATACCCCACAACATAACAGATGCATTTTTCTAGGTCTTTCTACCACAACATTTATAAGCCTTTCTCATTATCGATGTTTACATGAATATATACAAAATTAAATAAATTAAATGGCTATTTGACTTACCTGCTGATTCCAAAGGTACGACATGCAGTTTTAACATGCTGCCTATGTGCGTGGGTAAGGTTTCTGCAAAACTCAGCACTGAAAATTTCTTGTCTTTGGCAAAAGACAAGAAGTCATCATTCAGCTCTTTAAGTGCAGGAGAATCTAAGAAAGAGCAACATAATTTTTGCAGTGTTATCTGGAACATAAGATTATAGCATTTGTATGGCAAGACTGCATTGCTAAAGAGTTAGTTTTGAAAAATTAATATGACAGTAAAAGGAGTAGCATTTAGTGTGTAATCCCTTTTTTCCAGTTACCATATGCAACAATTGTTTAATTCTGCATAGCATAGAATTAGTTTGGAAGATAAGAGTCCAAGGTCTGGTACATGTTAGTTATTACTTTGCTGAATGACCCAAACTACTCTTTAAACTTGTTCTGACTCCCCCTTTTCTCCTCACCTCTGCAATCAACGAAACAGCTACTCAGAATCACTTGCAATAATTCAACACACGACCCAAAACATAAAAAGGGGGTTTGTTGTTTTTACCTAGCTTCTTTGACAACACGATGGAAAAAACAAAGCTTTGTGAACATATTAGCAGAGTTCCCTGTTGTTAGATGGTAGCAAAGTGAACGTACCCTTGCTGAGTTCTTTAACCTCCACAGACGGAAAGAGAAGATATCTGGCATTTATAGAATATTCAGCCAGCTGGGAACCATGGTGAGGTACACTATAAAATATGATTCCTCTGGTGTTGTTTACAATTTTATCCATTTCTGGATTCTTGGAAGCATCCACCAGCATCTTTTTGACTAGAAGACCTGGCAACAGAAACTGAATTAATGCAGGGATTTAAACCACTGTGAAAATAATGATCATGCTACATTATCCATGAAACAATTAACCGTATTCTTGCCTCATTGATTAGTCCTTCGACAGTCAAATATATAAGATTAAGTTGAAGAAAAACCAAACCAAACCTGAGAAGGCATTAATACAAAATGTCAATGAATGATGCAAATCAAATTTTGGTTTGTTTTAAGTGTTGCTAATGACATTTACTATACGCCTGATCATGGAGAAAATTTTGCCTCTGGATTTCCATTTACATGAATTTCAACTCACTGAGTTTTTAAATCAACATGTAAAACCAAACAGCAATAAAAATCGTTTCAAAATGTATATGCTATTGAGTATAACACATTAAGAAAATAGAAATTTGTTTTTCATTTTTAGGTCTTTGCAAAATTTTAAAATAAAGTATTCTGAATAACTGTATTTCAATCTGAATTTGTTTAACAGCTTATTCTGAAATAAAAAATACTTTATATCAAACAGGCAACATGCTTACCACCCATGCTATGAGATACCCACACCAGAGGTCTGTCTCCAATCCCAGCAGCTTTGAGCTTGTCAAGCAGCTCACTGCTCCGGTAAGCAATAGATTTCCTGCAAAGGAGACATGAACACAGGCATAATGAAGCATGATAGGTTAAAAGGCAACGTTAAAACACAATGAATTTTCAGTGCTGTGTGTTTATGGAAGTGAATTAGCTACAGAAACACTAATTATTTAATTATTGTTGCTACAGTGAAAAATGCCAAAAACTTTTTAAGGTTGGCTTCACAAGGACAACAGATATTGAGCTAAATTCAGTTTCTTGCTCTTGCAAGAAAGTTTTATTTTAATTTCACTTACCAATCATTTCCCTTAGCTTGACAAATTGTTTTATGGAGTTTTAAACAATTTCATTTACACACTGTAACAAAATTATGTTTTCATTTTACGAAATAAACATCGACGCATAATGAACTTTATCCCTTGCAACAGGAACATACCTAGTGTCTGACAAAAATGTATTTTGCTAAATAATGCTCCAAATGTGGAGCAATGTACAGAAACTTAACAACTAAGTGCATGATCAACCAACACATTAAAAAAAAAATCACAGCTAATGTCTGCTAGACTTTCCAGACAAAAATCTCCAAATGCTTTGTACTGGAATAGTATGAAAGCATAATAATCTCCATTTTATAAATGAAAAGACTGAACTCTGGAAAGGATAAGCTACACTTTAGAGGCTGAAAATGAATCTGTGGTACAACCAAAACAAAACCAACCCCAATTCTCAATCCAAGCTTGAAAGTGCAACATCATTATGCCTTGCAGTGTAACAAGAATCAAACACAGAAAGTCTTTGGATAATGAAAGCATCAGGATACTGGGGCAACCACTGTGCAAAATAATTCACTTCATCTCTATTGGTCTCAGCATTCTCACTAGAAATTGCTTTATAACACATATGAAAAGGATACTCAAGTGTGTCTTTTCAGCTGAATAATAGGCTTTAGGCTAGTAGAGAGGCATAAAAATTCACTTTTGAAACAGTGAATGAGACCATACACTTAAAAGCAAACCAAGTTTATGATTTTATTGCCACATCTTTGTTCCTGGTAGTTAAAAATATCTTCAATATTTTTCATTTATTATTAAACATATAAAATTATAAAATAATCAAATACTATGCGTGGGTGACCATAAATAGCAGGTAATTAATTTTCCATTTTGTAATGAAAAAGACATGAATCTTAGTGAAAGAAATACATGTTTATTTCTTTAAACATACTTCAGACAGACACGGAAAAGAGTTTTCTTAGAATCACAGAATCATTTAGGTTGAAAAAGACCCTTAAGATCATAGAGTCCAACCATTAACCCAGCACTGCCAAGTCTACCACAAAACCATGTCCTTAAGGGCCATATCTGCACATTTTCATATCACCTCCAGAGATGGGGAGACAACCACTTCCCTGGGCAGTCTCTTACAGGGTTTGACAACCCTTTCAGTAAAGAATTTTTTCCTACTATCCAATCTAAACCTTCCCTGGTACAACTTAAAGCCATTTCCAGTTTTCTTTGGACCTGTAACCACCTACATGCTTCTTACTGTCATTTTTCTGCCTCATTTCAAATAGGCATATTAACAGTCATGCCTTCCTTATTTTTTCCCTGCTTATATGTCTTCTTTAATGCAATAATTGCATTGAGCTTTCATATAACCAGGAGGAGGGAATGAACAAGTAGCAAGTTCCCAGTCTATTACACACATGCTGAAATTTTTTCTTCCCTGCACAAAACATAATCCACTTTCAGATTCCTAACCTGTGAGTAGTCATGCACATATCTCCACTGAAGTACACAAGTTGAATCTACAGTACTAGTAACATGCTAAAGTATCTGCATAAGTGTTTGAAGGACTTAGGTTCTGATTTAAAGATCACAATTACTAAGTCTAAAATTCATTCAAGCCAAAGAACCCTTACAGGCTCAAAGTATTTTTATTTTTCAGGAAGAAAATGCTTGATGGTTGCATCTTCCTTTGACCTATCCAGTTCACCAACAGCAAAAATGCAACTCCTCTGACAATTACACTATCTTACCAAATCAGATACAGTTGCTGTATTTTATGGGTCAAAGTAACACTTTTTGAACAAAGTATCTTTGTATCAGAAATAATGTGGTCAGCAGGAGGAGAGAAGTGACTGATGAGGCAATGCCTTGAATCCTGTGTTCAGTTTTGGGCTCTTCACTACAAAAAAGATTTTGAGGCACTGGAACACCTTCAGAGAAGGGCAACAGAGCCAGTGAAGGGTCTGGAGAACAAGTCCTATGAGGAACAGCTGAAGGAGCTGGGGTTGTTTAACCTGGAGCAAAGGAGGCTCATGGGGGTGACCTTATCTCTATGACTACCTGAAAGGAGGGTGCAGCCAGTTGTGGGTTGGTCTCTTGGCCCAGGTAACAAATGACAGGATGAGAGGAAACAAACTCAAGTTGCACCAGGGGAGGTTTAGATTGGATATTAGAAAAATTTCTTCATCAAAAGGGCTGTCAAACACTGAAACAGGCTGCCCAGGAAGTGGTTGAGTCCCCAGTACTGGAGGTACTAAAAAAGATGTGTAGATGTGACTTAGGGACATGGTTTAGTGGTGGACTTGGCAATGCTGGGTTAATGGTTGGACTCAATGATCTGAAGAGTCTTTTCCAACCTAAACAATTCTATGAAAATATATGCTTCATTTTATCAGGAGTTCAAAGCCACAGTACAGTGATTTTTTTGCTGTGCTTATGAAGCATTATAGGGTCACTTCAAGAAATATCCCCTTTAAGATTTGCATTAACTAATAGCATAGTTTAGTCTCCCCTAAACATGAGTAGAATGGCCTGTAAGAATTCATGAAATTGCCAGAAGTAATTCATGAGGCTAAAAAAAAAATCAAGCATATCATGACTATAATTAATTTTTTCCAAATTTGATTTTCCAATGCCACACAAGATAAATTCACTGTTTCACACTAGGAGATCCCAAGGATCAGCTTTACAGGTCTCCCTCCTGCCCCCCCTCTAAACTGCAGATGCTATATTTGTTACCTGTGAGCCTCAACAGGACATTTTGCTTTCCAGTCACTCAAATGGGTGTCATATTCTACAGATAGGATTCTAAGGGAAGGACAGTCTGAAGCCAGCCATGTCTAAATTAAAAGAAAAGCAAAATCAAAGAACTTATAATTGGGGTACTTAAACTCTTGCAAGCAACTTACCAGCAATGAAGCAAAGATGTTACTATGGGGACAATATCAAGCAAGACTTTTACTCATCATTTAATCCCCAAATACATTTTACACCTGTATTATTATTCTTATTATATGCTGGGGAACTCTAGGCTGTTCCCCAGCCACGAAGTAGGCAAAGGATGAAAACCGATCTCTAACTCGTGCGTTCCTGGCTCCCTCTCCTGGGTGAAACAAGACTAAGATTATCAACAGGACTGATCAGTTCAAGTTTTACAGAGATACTTCAGTGGCTATACCAGTGTGAGTCACTTGAAGCAGTAACACCCTATTCACCGACAACACTTAAATAGCAATCTGCACATACTCAGACACCTATGTAAGAGAAGGTACTTAATTTAAAATGTAATTTTATATATCTTTTCCTCAGCAATAACATTCCATTAAAAAAAAAAAAAAAGAGCATAAGGAAAGCAGCCATGGCCTTCTATTTCACTAGCACGTGAATGATGTTGAAAGCATTAAACTTAGCAGAGATTTTTCCTTGCACGAACAACAAACAACTCACTAACAAAAATCTATCAGGAACTTGGAAAGTGCTACTTGAAAAACATATTACAACTAATGTGATTCAAAAAAGACATCTGCCAGACAGATGCTAGATGCTCTGGACAGCTCTCACTAATGAGAAAACAGCAGCCATGTGTAAAAATGTTACTGCCTTTTTACCTTTGGCCAGCACTGACTATAGTCCTCTTCGCCTTCTGAGACCTTTTTATCCAAATGCCTGTCAATGTCTTGCTGTCGCCAGGTTTTAAATGCTGCTCCCAAGAGACCGTGAACAAAAAGGATGTCTGCTCTGATGGGCTGACTGATAAAGAAAAAGGAATTTTTAAGAGATATGTGTTACATATTCTTTTAGCAAATTAGAACTTTTAACCTAAGGGATGCCAAAACACTTCTTTTAACACTCCATGTGATTTCTTATCTCGTGGACAGTATATCATGGTATTTCCAAGAGTACACTCAGATCAAGACAAAAAACAGGGATACAGCTAGAAGAGATATAAAAAGAGGTATGGAAAGTACCCACCTCACAAATCGTAATTTTCTATAATGAAAACCAGCTTTCCCTCCAGCTACTATTAATGCAGCTTTATCATCTAATTAGATCTTCACTGCAATCTGAGTAATACCAATGAGCCCAGGGAATAGTTGCTACTAAGTGACATAGCACGCTGGAGACTGCTTCGGTCCCAGATCCACAACTGCTATTTAAAGAGGCTAAGATGAAAATTTACTGCATCTTAGGTCAACATGTGCTGATGCCAGTAGAATAATTACAAGGCATGGTATCCAAGACATGCAGTGCAAAGGTTAAAGGGTTGCAACACATGCAAAGCAGTAATTAATCTAATGTTTTGTGTTCAGATTTTTCCATGCATTACAGTAATACCCTTTTCATGGTTATGGACTATTCCAACCACTCCTGTTGTTCTTCTACTTGAGAATGTAAATTCAGTCCTTTCAACCCACCAAAAAACAGGAGGAGCAGGTGATAACACTACAGCAGCACTCTGATTTCAACTCTTCCAAGGTTTTGTAACTGAACAGCGTAAAAAACTCGAAGTACAGCATTTACAATGTCTCCTTCTGCTTTACCTGCTACGATACTGTGGATGTAAGACATAAACGCCATCTGGATATTTTTCTTCCACCGCGTCCCTGTCTAGATTAGCCAAAGCTCTGGATGCATGAGAAGACTGAATGATATGTGGGGATTTCATTACTTCAGCAAGTACAGAAACCCAACCTACATTGAGAAAATAAAGCAGCAGGTTAACTAATAGAAACATCATCCAAATGAAAGAATTCAGAAACATCACCCTTTAAACTATACTTGTGAAAACAGATGTTAAAACTTAAGAAGGGTAACATCAAAATAAATTATTTCAATCCACTCTTTACTTCAGGAAAGCCAAAGATAGGTAAGTGGAATGTCCAAAATTCAAAAATTCAGAGAGACAAAGAGGCAATGTATTTTACTACTGTTCAGCTTATGATCTGAAGGAGGACGTCTTCTCAAAAGAAAAAGGAAGTGTATCTGCAGGTCAATACAGTTGTCAGAGAGAGAACAGATCTCAGGTCTCTTTTTGCAAGTAAAACGCAAGGAAGATGGTGAAAATGAATCTTAAAGCACAAGAGAGGCATAAAAAACAACCTACAGGAGCAATGGTAGGTGAAAAAAATTGATGCTCCCTGTAAGAGTAGTACAACCATTTCTATTTTAAAATCCAGTGTATGAAAAACTCATTATGGAATCAAAATATCCTCACAGTGTTTTCCTGTGCCTTTGCTACTCCTCCCTTGTGTAACAGAGATTAAAAATGCACAGTGTTTAAAAAGTCCACCTTGGACCTATACAACAGTATATTGATATTTTCTATTTATTTATTTTCTAATAAAACATTGAGATTTATTTATTTGGTACAGAATTTTCATTGTGATATTTAGAGGGTATTAAAAAAGGGGTATGAGAGAAAAGCTTAGCAGAAGTTAGTAGGAAAACAAGGAAGGGAAAGGCATCACGTTTCACTTTGTTCCAAAAGGTGAGGATTGCAAGTTGGTCTGTTCCCATACAAGACTAAAACACAGTAAATTAAAAAAAAAAATATGTACAAGGTAGATGATCTGTAAGAGCAGGAAACTCAAAAAAGATTTTTGCCAGTAATGTGAACCGAACATCAACAAAGTCCAAATTTTCACCATCCATCAGACTTTGGACAGCTCTCATTGACATACACTGGCTAGACAGCAAACAAGAGTTCTTAATCAAAACCATCTAAACAGTCTATACTTTTTGTGTTAAAAAATCCGAACAACACCTCCCCAGCCCCGCAAATATAAAACCCACACCACTACCATGGTCCTCTTCATTTTACGTAAGCACCAAATCCTCAGAAATTTTCAGAACAGAAATCTGACATTCAGACTACTCGCACTTGCTTTCCTTTTACCTGCACGTACTATGGACGAATGAAGATGTTCATCCAAAGCCATATTTCCAATAATGCGAATTATGTTCCTCTGTATCTTTGCTGAATCTTTACGTAGCTGGTATATCCTCTGTAGTAGCTGAAGGCCTCCTTTAGCTTCAATTTTATCACAGTGAGAAGAAATCTAGCATTATACAGTAAATACAGTGATAATAATTAGATATTCTGCAAAAGGTTCTTTAGATGCTGTTAATTCACAGATTAGGGAGTTTCAAGGAGCCGATATAATGAAGAGCACTTATTACATGGAAATTATTATTAATCTAGAATTTATTATGCCACAGTTAAAGAGGAAGTAAATATTTTAATATGATAAATGCATGATTCCTATGAATTGGCAACCTGAAAAACACTGAGTACCATCACTTTACTCTCCTCCACATCTTAGGGAGATGAGATTGCTCTCCACTTGGCATGATCAAATTTCAACTTAAGTTCAAGAGTCTGAAACAGGCCAATATTCTGCATTTGTTAGAGCATTATCTCAACCAGAGCCACTTGTCTTCCTGTCCACCATCTAAAATGCACTGAAATGCAAAGGTATTTCTACTTCCAAATAGTACCGCTATCATTATTGATCCTAAGGGCAACAACAGATTTTAGTCTAAGCAGATGAATATGCGCTAATTAGTTGTGTCAACTACCAATATTGGCCAAATGCTTATGATTTGAACAGACTGTCTACAGTGCTTAAAAATGCATGGTAGCTACCGAACTGCTGATATCCTCAAGTCTGTGGCTTTCAACAGTCACAACTTGTGCGAACAAGTACAGTCACAACTTGCTTTAACTGAAAATCTGGAATATAACACATTCCAGACTAAGTCAGAACTTCTATGTATATGGAAGATGTGAAAGAAATACCAGCAAACTGCACTTTATCCACCCCTACTATCAATAACAATTTGGTGTTCTCAACACTGTTTCTCAGTGGTTTAGCTTCTGAGCAATGAAATGCACACAGAAGAGTGCAGCAACAGGAAACAAGAAGAATCACTGTTACAAAAAGTCTTCCATACTCTTCATCTGTGTCTGCAAAGAACAGACTGGTCCTGGGAGGCCACTGCATTAGATGCTTGCTGTGCAGTAGTCTGCCCAAAGGCAGTGGCCCCTGAAGGAGGGAGCTTTTTGAATAGATAAGGTTTGAATTCATCAGGCTACTTTACTTTGTGAAAACCGGGCACTAGAGTCGAATTAAGAGCCGCAAGAAGAGAGTTGCTTGTAAGCTTTCTGAACTGATGTACAGTCACACAAATCCACATACTTTGCATTGAGAATTTCACATCATCAGTATCTCGATTACTGAGAAGCTGCAGAGTGGAAACACTGTTGCCTCATGATATCCATCTCCAATGACTTTAGCTGTCAGTGGGAAGTAGCCCCACATAGGATGAAATCATTTAAGCCACCCGGACCTCAGGCATTCTCTCCTGCTTTTCTGTCTCAGAGCTGCCCTTTTACTTCTTGAAAGATACACACAGGTATACTACAGGAGAACTTGTAAGGGCTAATTAGAAACAAGAACAGAACTTACATACACTTCCCCATGAGAAAAAAAATTAGCTTGTTACACTGCCTTTGTTTCACACCAGTCTCGGTTGTCTGTCCCTTACAGAAGGAGTGAGGGGTAGGAGACAAAGAAATGGCAACTCCTTCCCAATACATGAGAGAGCATTAAAAAGGAATGTTTATAAATGTAGTTTTTCAGTGATAGTTTAAAGGATAAATTACCTTAGAATGCTGTACTAAAGCCTGCAAGCAAAAGAGTTCCACTGTTTCTGAAGGGATTTTACTCAATGTCTCACAATATGGAAGTCCGTTTCCTCCAAAACACCATAAGCCTCCCTGAAATGAGAAACAGTAAAAATCATAACACACTTCAGATGGCTACATAAAACAAGGATGTCTAAACTGAACCGTTAAGTGTGTAATGATCTCTAGAAATGGCTTTAAAGAGTGCACAGTATGCATGCACTTTTCAAAATGTACAAACTACACAACAGTACACCATAAAAATATTTACTGTTTTTAACTGAAAATATTAATTAGATTTTCAGTCAGTAGTCTCCATAGTCTATTAACTTCAAAACATAAAGGGAAAAAATGTAGGATTTTCATTTTGTTAATGAACGTCTTCTTTTAAGATCATTTGTTTAAGCGTGAAAAGCAAGACTCAAACTAAATTTAGACTTCCATAGTTGCAAAACTAAAAATAGGAGGAAAAAAGGTCTCCAATATGTGGCATAGCCTCTGACAACCAGTCTCTCAATCACAGAGCAGAAAGACCAGCATAACCTCACCAAAAATCCGACAAGTGCAGTGTCTTACCAAAGCTCACTTTGTACCAAGAGCTCTGGCTGTGAAAAAAATAAAGGAGTGATAGCATAAAAATAATACACATAACTCTGTTAGAGTAACTATAGAGTTATTGCACTTAGAAATCTCCAAATGTAGGCTGACAAGCATCACTATTAAAATGAATTCATGTTTGCTATTGCATCTTATAAAAAATAATAATCACTCATTAAAGAAGTCACAACTTTTAAATAAAAAATAAAATTCACAAGAAAGAGTGGATGAAAGTGGCATTACAATTATTATTTTTATGCAATAATGGCACTTTAAATGATGTTCCTAATGCCCCTAAAGAAGCTGTTGCACTGTTGAAGAACCCCTAGTTTCCAAGTTCGGACAGACCACTAGACTATTCCATTTCTGGTTTGGTAACAGGGATCTGTTCCAGTGAGGAATTTCCACGTGATATAACAGAGTTTACTACTTGAGGTGTGCTAACAACTACTAGTTTGCTAGTAAGACTTAACAGAGGTTTAATCATCTCTGCAGTAAGTGAAAATTCAAACAACAGTAAGATAAAATGTGAAAAATCACTTTATGAGCACTACAAGGGAAAGGAATGTTTTGGATAAAATGTTGAAATATCTGCTTAATGGGAAGATTTGAAGGATACAATCTTTCATTAGACCTTTCCACTAATACAGCTGGGAAACACAAACAAGCTTTCAAGCAGACAGTCTGTATTTAGAAGAGATTTTGCTTATGTTCTGCGGTCACAAAGTCTCTGTATTTCTCTTCCTCTTACAGTGCTCAAAAATGTGGAAATAGGTTTATATCTTTGAGCTCTGCAGGAACAAAGAACCCAAACAGTTCTACTTCGCAGATGGGAACTCACCCTTTGTGCAGCAAGAGTCTGGCTACTTTCACGTAAAGCAAGAGATGTGAAGTACTGGACACATGGATCAAGACCAGTCTGAGGTAAAGATACTAACAACAAGCGAAGCTCATCTTCTATGGGATAATCCTGCAAGAAGTAAGCACAAATAGCTTCTAGTTTTGTTCAAAGCATGAAGCAAAACACAGAGAAAATAAATATTTGACATAATGGAATCAGCCATACTAATGAGGCCATAAAATATGAACCCTGGACTTAAGTGCTCTGCAACTCTTTAGTAGTTATATCTGTAAAGGCTTTGAAAACTGGTAATTCTAAAACCGCCAAATAAGTGATGAAAAGCTTCATACTTTACACTTCATACTTTGGTATGTTCCTCTTGGCACAGGAAGTTTAAAAGTTCACCCTTAACTACACGGTAATTTTCCTAGAATCATAGAATATCCTAAGTTGGAAGTGACCTACAAGGATCATTGTAGTCCAACTCCTAGCCCTGCACAGGACCACCCCACAAATCACACTGTGTGCCTGAGAGCTTTGTTCAAACACTTCTTGAACTCCATCAGGCTTGGTGCTGTGACCACATCCCTGGGGAGCCTGTTCCAGTGCCCAACCACCCTCTGGGTGAAGGTCTTTTTTAATATCCAACCTAACCCACCCCCTACACAATTTCAGGCTATTCCATTCGGTCCTGTCGCTGGTCCCCACAGAGAAGAGATCAGTGCCTGTCCCTCCTCTTCCCCTCACGAGGAAATTGTAGACTGCAATGAGGTCTCCTCTCAGTCTCCTCTTCTCCAGTTGAACAGACCAAGTGACCTCAGCTGCTCCTCATACAGCTTCCCCTCAAGGCCCTTCACCATCTTTGTTGCCCTCCTTTGGACGCTCTCTAATAGCTTTATATCTTTTTTATGTTGTTGTGCCCAAAACTGCACACAGTACTTGAGGTGGGGCCGCACCAGCTCAGAGTAGAGTGCAACAATCACCCTCCTCAACTAGCTCATGATGCTGTGCTTTTGGTGACACTCCATTAAAATGAATGTATAAATTACTAGTAAAAAATAAAGACAACATTTCTTTTAAGCTTTTATATTCAAAATATTCATACAGGTGTTCATTTAACAATCCATAGATCAGTTGATAGATTCAACAAAGTTGAATAACAAAGTTTATTTGCCCACAGTCATGGAATTCACAGTTATTCTAATCCTGGCTGCAATCCGACATGGAGACTTTTGTGATGATTAGAACTGCCACAATGATTTGCTTCAATTTGCTAAGCAGTAGATTGGGAACTCTTAGCTTCAATCACCTAGTAATCATACTTCTGTAGAAATATATACACAACCATATACTAGTATAACCTAAGATAAGAAAGGAAAAACTGAGCATAACACCATGAACCTAAGCTGGTGTTTCAGAGTTTTGTTGGTTAACATATACAGGTAGTTTCTGACAGGTAGTTTTTGACAGGGACTTCTGCCAGTATTCATTCTATCAGCATTACAAAACACCTCATATATTATGCTTTGTGTGCCAATTCTGTTTATTGAAGAAGCTGATGATGGCATGACTGCTCTGACCATCATATGTATAATATATATACACACCCTTAAAAATTACCTTAGAAAGAAAAACCAAGGCCAAATTCATCCAATAAAGATTTGTTGACAACCAAAACCTGGCAATGAAGAGGTGGGTCAAGAGCAGAGCACCACACTAGCACTGAGGATGCAAAGGCCTCCAGGAACACTACCTATATGTAGGATTTTGTCAGGATCAACAAGGCAATCCAGGATGACTTCTTCGCATTGCCCATTAGGTACAGACAAGCAGTGTGTGTATCATACTGGTAACTGGTTCAGACTTCACTGCTGGTAAATATATACTGTGGATATACAGTTCAAGAACAGTAACTGAGCAATGTGTTCAACCTTATTTCTTTCCATCATGCCATTCGCTAATGCAGATATACCCCAGGGGTATATCATATCTTACAGTTTTGTATTTTAGTCTTAATTTTACTACTAGTTAGTTACTTTAGAAGAACTCTACTTTAAACAACAAACAACAATAACAAAAGCAGTAAAAACAAATAAACAACTAAGAATCATCTAATACCTACTTTTCATTTACTTACAGTCTTTATTTTTGGCAATGGTGGTGGAGGCAGGAAAAAGCGAAGGTCAATACCTTTAGATCGAGCCAAACCTATAGCAGTCCTTTGATCACAGGTTTGAGCAACTGTACCATATTGATAATCTGTCACACAAGAATTTCAATGTTAGGGTTAAAACTAACCTTAAACATTTCATTTGGTTTTAAATCAAGTTTCTGATCTACTTTGTAAATACACTTGAAAAAAGAACCACCTCTCTGCAATCTACTTAAACAAGTTCTGATTTTGTAACCACAAATTCCAGAAGTTAAAAACTGCAGATGTTAGATCAGCACTATGCTGAACTGAAATACACCTGGGCACTAACTGTTCATTATAGACCAGTTTGACATAGGTCCTCAGATATAATTTGAGCACAAGCAAAAGCAAATGTTCAGTATTGCCACTGTGAAAGGAATACAAGAACTACAAACCAAAGTTTGAGTTAAAATTTAAAAGGTATCGTGCATGCTCTTCTGCATACATTATTAAAAACCAGAGCCTTAAATTCAAATACTGCAGAGAGATCACCCCAAATTTCAAATGATACAAAAAGCCACGTTTCAATAAAATTGATAGCACAGTACAGTTTTAAGTAGCCCTTCCTTAATGAAAATACAAGAGAGACTTTCAGTTACTCTACTGAAGGGAAAGCAGACTTAAAGAGCAACTACTCTTCCTTTCCAAAACCTACCTACTTTAAGCTGGAAAAACTAAAAATCATATACTGAAATTCAGTGGCAAACTGAAGGGAAAGAAAATAAAAATTTGCTTCTATTCTTGTTACTGTTATTCAATTCTAGAACAAAACTGACAAGCCATTTAAAATATAATTTTCACAGTCACAGATTGGCCATATTTTTTCTTCAGTGTAGATCACTTACATCTGCAAACTGAATTCATTGGAGCTGTGCTCTGGACAAGCTGAACACTTTGGTTCTAGTTGTGAAAAGTTAGCACATACTTTCAATCTTAAATTTTCTTGGACTCCATTTTGAAGTATCAGGTTAAAAAAAAGCCTGTTTCCCTCATAAGGCAGTTGGCAAGAACAATAAGTGTTTGTGAAACATCCAAATACTACAACAATGAGCACTACAGAGAAAGGGAGATAACAAAAAGCAACTAAATTCCTAATACTGGACACCCTGTGCTCTGAGATCCTGAGATCACCCGCTAACAGATAGTATTTGCCTTCAAACACCAGACAGTCACACTAAACTAGTACACAAAGCTTCAGTTTTGGTACATCCTAGCTTTCAGATCTTTTCAAACACAATTTGTTGATGTAAATTCCCCATGGAAATTAATTAGATTTTTAAAGAGGCGATTTGAAACAAAATAAATCCCATGGCTTGGAGTTGCATTGGAAGAGTGAAAGATCCTCAACTGACTGAATTACCAGACTAATGAGAATCCAGAACAGAATGTCACCTACTTTATGTGGCCTAGTGATGGAGCAAGGAGAAGGACACACATATTCACATACACACACACCTCCCCTTGGCGTTTCAAGGATATTTGCTGCTAGAGCAACAGGGTGAACTTATTACTACTAAATAATAACTAGGACAAAAAATGGCTTACAAATCATGTTTACACATACAAGTCCTTTACCTCTGGTTTGTCATTACTACATATCAGCTCCTAACCAATTTTTATCAACTTAACCATGGCTTTAAACTCACTCCTACAGAGCCTTATAAAAAAATCACTGTCAGAACTAGTGACTGTGTTAGCAGTCCCAACAGAAAACCCTAGGAATAAGGAGTATGAACTGCTCTCCCACAACACAGCAATGGTTGGAATCCTCTGGTGGGAAACAGAGAGAGGCCTGCACTGCAGACACACACCCTGTGTCAGGGTGTTAGGAAAGAACAGCTACTTGAAATGTAAATAACTCTCCCACATTTTAGACCAAATTTCAGAGCATATTTATGCTTCTTGCAGCTACTAGCTTTTCTTCATGTTGGCAGTAGACTTGGAACAGCTAACTGAGACTTTGTTGCATTTCTGGGATGAATTAGGCTACATCAGCACACATTACCACGCCAGTGATTGTTGCTTGCCAGGTCTTGTACAGCCTGCAGTCGGACCATTTTGTCTTCTGACTGAGTTCTCTTTAAGAGAAGCCATAAGGCACACTCATGCTCTTCTCCATCAAATGTACTGAATTGTTCTTTTAACAAGAAACAAATGAAACATGTTATTATTAATGAGCATTTTAACAGTCATGTTGCTATTTGTTGAGTAAGGAAATACATTTCTTTTAATATCTGAATATTAGTTGTTAACAGTAATTTAGAGTGTAATGTTTTAATATTAAATTAATACAATAAACAATCACAGAATGACATCAGTAAAATGCTGATCCTTAAATGGTGGGTTTAATTCATTTTAGTGGCACCAAGTTGATATTTCAAATATATGTGACAACCCCTGGCTGGCACTTATCAACCAGAATTACCAGCAACTTTTGAGGCTCTGACCTTGAACAATTAATTTCATAGGATGACATGACATTTCATAGGAGGTGCATATTGTTATAATTATTTAACAGACAGTTAAATGAGAATAGACAGTATGCCTCAGGAACAGAGTTTCTTATACAAATTGAAGTTCTTATTGTAAATTACTCTAAAAAGCAGTGACACTGTTACAAGTAGACTGTGCTGCTTTCAGTTAATATTATCAATTCTGATGAAAACATAACATACTTTTCTATAATCAGATTTTGAGAGTATTTCATCCCACAAATACCTTTTGTACACAAAAACGGTATCAAATATTAGCCCGGTATCTTAAGCTTTAAATCTCTTCTGAAACAGGAACAAAACAACCCTCAAATCCCCTCTTAACCTCTGCTTTTGTTTACTTTAGGAAAAAGAATGGTTTTAATACATAGAAAATAGACAACCGATAATCCATATTAATATAGAAATTATCACTGTTTCAAACAGAAAAGAACATGTTCAGTTTGTGAGAAAAAATATTTTACTTTCTAAAAGTCTTACTTCTCACTGTTAAAAACCAATAATAATAGATAAAGTCCTGCTTTCAATACCTACCATTAAAAGGTCTTCGGAATATTTTAGCTTCAGTTTCTAGAATTTTCCTCACTGCTTTATGGATTTCTTTTCTGGCTTTGTATGTGATCCCTACAAGAGTATTTTTGTATTACTGGAAGTCTGAAAGACAGTTCCCTTGTAAATACATGAAAAAAAATACACACACATATACATATGGACATATATAAAGAAAATTATCTCATATATAGAGAACTATGTATAGAAGGAACAATCTTAAAAAAAAATAATCAGTCACCAGCTTAAAATAAATTTGGTGACATTTTTTGATAACAGATCTCAGGAAATATAACTTTCCTTACTATATAAGGGTGACTTCCAGAAACATTCTATTCTCTTAAAATTCTGTTTTTAAAACGCAAACAATTATGCACCTTACCTTGATATTCACTTGGATTTAGAGAAGCTGTACGTACGTACACATATGATTTAAGTTTTTCTTGATGTAGAGCTTGAGTATCAATTTGCAGCAACTTATTTAAGGACAGGACTTCATACGTAATGAATACAAAACCTCTTTAAAGGAAAGAGAACTGCATATGAATATTAACTAAAAAAATATGATGGTAAAAAAAGTTAACAATCACTTCGCTATAAATCATCCAGATTTTACCACATACATAATAGTCTGCAAATTATTTTCATTTCACAAAGTAGAGAAAAGGCTATAAAATACTTGAAATAAGTAATGACTATCAGAAATTATGCTTCCCAGCCATATTCCACCATGTCTATTGTGGTGGAATGGACAATATCCTCTGATATTGTCACATTTTTTGAGAGATACACATATTAAACTTTTAACTGTGTACATAAATTACTTATAGGTTTGTCAGTTACAACTTACCCTAGTATAAGCGATCCAGTTACCTTTCCAATTTTTCCTTGAAAAAATGAAAAACTCATGTCAAACAAAGTTGTGTGCATCACCTCAATATTAACATAATTACCATGTGATTATCAAACAGTAAGAACACCAGTCACTAAGAATAAGCTTTTAAAAATTTTTCTATTGCTCTCCACCTTTCAGGAAATCATTAACCAAAATTTACAACCAGAGAAAACATTACTTGATTAGAATTTCCTGCTCTCATAAGCAAGACGATAAAACATGTATCCTGCCACTGCTATTTACTTTGAATATTGCTACCTCTCAATTGCATTCATTGCTCAGCTGCAGGAATCAACAGTAAACTTTCTCTGCCTGTATCACTAGCAATCACTTTGAACTCTAAATTATTTTAAGACGTTAATTTTTTCTTATATGGTGTAGCTATATCTTCAACGTATATTATTACATACAGGAGTATGTACATTCTTTGAAAAGCCCTGCAGTCTCCATAAGAAAATTATTTTTAAAAATAATTCCATTGAATCTAATTTATAAAGCAAAGAGCTAATAAACACATATTACTTGCAACAATTTTCCTTTTAAGTCTAATAATTCCTGTCAGATCTCAGCTATTTTGTCCCTACCACATTGATCTGATTATCTGAATATAAGGATCTCTATACAGAGAAACTCTTTATCATTACCAGTAGCAGCAAACCCAATGGAACCCATCTCACCTATCATGAATAATTTCTTTTCCTCAGCATGAATTGGGAGATTTGCCCCACAACCACTGCTACCAGCTTCCGTCTTTGTGAGACCATAAGAATTTGGCATGCAGACAAGAGGCAGCAGCTACATGTTGAAGAAATAACTGGCAGAGAAGTTTGAAAAAGAAAAAAAATGCAATGCTTCCTGTAGAGTAGAAATTGAAATATCCTATCTTTAATGCTCAGAAATAAACTTTGTAAGAATCGTCATTCTATGCAGAAAGCACCAAAGAAAGCAGAGACTAAGCAAGAAAGACTGCAGAATTAACAACACAATATAAAATAAATAATAGAAACAAACTTTAGTCCCCATTTATTGATGTAATTATTTCATGGCTCTAGAAGTTACCAAAAAAATCAGATACAAGTGGAGTTTAAGATAGTTTAATGAGACCACATTTAGTGAGGAGAGGACCTCCCATCATGTTTGTATCTGTTCCCAAATAATCTGCTGGTGTCATTTTACAGATCACTATGCAAAGCAAGGTCAGACGCAGATAGGCACTTTAGGTTAATAGGAGCTTTTAATCACAAAGTCTTCAGGGATTTAGAACTCTAGTTCTAAATAATGTATGATATCATACCATTCCTTTTTATTAACACTTCAGATCAATACATAGTGAACTGTACTTACTGATATTCCAGGGTAGGTGTGTTTTCGTGGCTGAACCTGAGGTTCCTATTTGTCTGTAGCAAAATATACAGTAAGCAGACACTGACATTCTGCGTATTAAAAAAAAAAAAAAGTAATGATTGATTTGACAGTTACAGCAGAAAACCTGCAGCAGATTTTCCTGTCTTTTTACTGAAAAGGTCATGATAGCAAATGTCCCAATAAACCATACTTGTGTCCTTTTACTCCCTATAAAGTGCTCCAATTAAAAAAATCTATAAACTCTTTAATTTAATGGGCTGCATTTCAATTACAAGAAAAGTTTAAAGCAGTTTTTCATCAATTATGTGTTACTGTTGATTTTAGTAAGCACGTATCTCCAATTAATTTCTCTGCTTCTAAATTTCCTTTTCTACTTCTTAGTAACTCCCCCTAAAATACCAGCTATGCTCATGTCTTCATCAAGACATTACTCTATATGACATGGGATTTAATACAACTCAGCAACCAACTGCTTTTAAAGTTTATAACTGATCGTGTTAGCAAGTAAGTCTTTCATTTTGATTAATAAGGCTCAAGGAACTACTACATATTTTTGGCTTCAAATGGCAAATCTAACTAATACTTAAAGAATGTGAAACCTCTACAGTTATTAAAAATTAGTACTGTTTCTCAAATGCTCTGACTTAATGGGCTCATGAAACTCACAGGGCATGCTTACAGGTAAAACATGCATCTCATTCTGAAAAGGTTCTAACATGTGCAAAAGAACGAGAATCTAGCCTGAGTCACGAAGAAGAGAACCCTTTCTAAAATTAAGACCTTAGCAATTCAACATTATGAAGCCACAAGATACCAACAGAATAACTGCACTGTATTCATTGAATGCTGAAATAAAACTAGATTTTTTTTTGAAGTCACAAACATACATATATTAGAACTACCAAAGTTCTGAATGTACAGGCAAGCCAATGCAAGCATGAATTTTCTTGACAGTAGCAGTCTTCATGAAGGTAATATGAGAGTCCTTCAGAATTATGAAAAGATTTATTCTTCTAATATATATGATTAGGCACTCAATTTTCCTGGTTTTATAGGCAGGAAGACGAGTTAATAAAAATTTGCTGTAACTTCCATACACTTTCTAGATATTACTTTGACTCTTTTAACAAGTGGGACTATTCATGAAGGACTATGCACTTTAGCCCACTGATCAAGGCTGTATCTTAACCTCTGCACAATGAAGTTAAAAGAAAATATAGTTACACTAGTCAAGCACAGAAAACCAAGTCAATTTAGGCCAGGCAAAAGCACCAATTCCTGTTCCTACCACTCACACGTACTTACCATTTTATGTATTAGCAAAAGTTACTGTCTTTATATAAGAACTTACTTTCTTTATGTAAGAAAAACTTGTCTAAATTAGGAAAATTTAAAAACTGGCTTTGGTAACCCATAACAACAAAGTTCTGCATGTTACTTCTGACAAAGACCTCCTCTCAAGTCTTAGTTGATAGAACATATAGTATTTTCAGCACAAGCATTATGGAAAAACCCAGAAAGAATATGAAACATAATAATCACAAAAATACGCAAAAAAACCATTTTTGCATACACTGCAGCAGTGACATGAAACTTGTATTTTATAAGTGAAATTTTAGTGTCTGTGTTGATGCATTTATACTAACTGAAATATTGAGTTAATGTGTTTAAGTGGATTTAAAACCACACCAATATCTCTCCCATATCAATCAAATTCTTATGTTGGAAACATAGTCACTCTTATTAAATAACAAATTAAGTCTATATCACCACATTCACAATTAACTCAAAATCATAATATGTCCCTTGTGTAAATCTGATCTTGAAACATGGGAGCCTGATAAGCTCCTTGAATTTAAGACCAAGAAAAACACTTATATCACTTTTATTGTCAGTGTCAAAGTCCTCTAAACAAGAGGTTTCTGTTTGTTTCCTTCCATTAATGTGTCTTCCTCTTTTCTCATTTCCCCAAAAGTTTTGATTTTTCACTTGTCTCTTGCTTGTGTTTGGGGCATTTTTGAAAAATGTCAGTATTACCCCAGCACTCCCACAATCACTGCCAGGAGACTACTTTTTGACTTCCGTCATTTCAACATTGTGCTTATACATTCACTTCAGCAGAGTACACAACAGTGAAGACACTGATAATCAGTCCTCTAGAGACACCTCTCCCGCCTCCAAACTCTGTCTGATGGCAGTTCCTTTACTACCTTTATTTACAGAATCACATGCATTTATTCTTCTCCCTAGCCACAGTCTATAACTGCAATAAACATGTGGTTCAGTGACAACAGGTGCCACAACTACTTGAATCTGAAACAAGCACCTGCAAACACAGGAGGTCAAAATGAGTGCCATTTCTCTGCTGCCAGAAGCCTCTGTTCAGGTCCAAGAGTGCACATAGAATCATAGGGGTTCGACTGGACCATAAAGATCATCTATTCTCAACCCCCCTGCCATGGGCAGGGACACCTCACACTAGACCAGGTTGCTCAAGCCTTTTCCAAGCTGGCTTTGAATGCTGCCAAGGTTGGGGCAGCCACAACCTCCCTGGGCAACCTGTTGCAGGGCCTCACCACCCTCAGAGTAAAGAATTTCTTTCTAATATCTAAACTAAATTTCTCCTTTTTCTCTTGTGCCCATTATTCCCTGTCCTATCACTGCAGTTCCTGATGGAGAGCCTCCCTGCAGGCCCCTTCAAATCCCTTAAGGCTGCTATGAGATCTCCATGGAACCTTCTCTTCTCCAAGCTGAACAGCCCCAGCTTTCTCAGCCTGTCTTCACAGGGGAGGTGCTCCAGTACTCTTATCAAATTCGCAGCCCTCCTCTGGACCGGCTCCAGCAGGTCCATGTCCTTCCTACGCTGGGGGCCCCAGAGCTGGATGCAGCACTACAGGTGGGGTCTCACCGGAGCAGAGTAGAGGGGCAGAATCATTTCCCTTGCCCTGCTGGCCACACTCCTTTTGATGCAGCCCAGGATTTGGGTTGGCTTTCTGGGCTGTGGGCGCACATTGCCGGCTCATATTGAGGATTTTATGTTTAGGGATATATGCAAACATAACGCGAAAGGACCCATTTTGCAGCCTGTTTCACAGTCGGTCCGGACAGCTGCGAGCCCCCTCCCGCACCGGCGGGTGCGGTGCCCACCTGCCTGTCACGAACCCACCGTGGGGCAGGGGCGCCGCTGCCTCGGGACTGCGCCACCGCGGCTTATTTAAAAAAAAAACAAAACAAAAAAAAACACAACAAACATCATCGCAATTTTAGGCGATGAAACACGTACACAGAGGTGGCTCTATGCGTCTTTTCGAAGGGGTTCAGAAACAAAACAACCTGCTACCCCGAGACGCCCCCCGTATCCCGCCCCGTCCCCGTGTCCCGGCCGCCATGCCCCCACCCCCCTCCAGCAGAGCAGTTCCCACCTTCCGCCTCCGCCGCCGCTCCCGATGGCGGCGCCCGCGCACCCGGTGACGCCACCCGCGGGCGCTGCCGGGAGTGGCGCCGCGCGTGCGCGAAAAAGGCGCTTCCGCCGTCCGGGAGCGGCGCAGTTGGAGGGTCGTGGCCTGCGGGAGTCGCACGGTGCGAGGCGGGGGCAAGGCAGGGACCGGAGCTTCTGGGAGCCCCTCTGTCCCAGGCGGGCGGGACCAGCAGCGCTGCTGGTCCGGGGAGGTGAGTTGTCTAAAGAATTTACGAGTTTAACCAAAGCGTTGTTTGTTTGTTTGTTTTTGGTGCTTGCAGGTTTGCTCCATTCGCGTGTGCGACCCGAAGCAAGGGGTTGTTTTTGCGGCCTCTGCCTCCCGGCGTTTGCAAGAGAACCGAGAAGATGGTGAATGTTCTGAAAGGTGTTTTGATTGAGTGGTGAGTGACAGCGCTTACCGCCTTTCCTTGTGTCAAAACCTGCTTATTTCTCCAGACCTTAAGTAACTTAAGAATCTGGACAAAAGGAATTGTTGTGATGCAACTGTTTAAGTTACCTGTAATTTCCATAATTCCGAAACGTTTTCTTCTAAACATTTAACTTAAGAGGTGATATCGTGACTGTTTAGTTAGGGTGTGATAATTGTACAATTCATACTTGAATTTTTCTCCATGCTATATTACTTTGAGTAGGAACTGTGTTCTCCTGGGTTTTGGTTATCCTTAAAAAGAAGTATACTTTAAGAAAACATGTTTTCATAGTACTACTGCTGAAGACAAAAATGTAAGTTCAAGCTTAGTTTATTAAGGATTGGATTTTTGGTTTTTAGTTGTTTGTGGTTTTTTTTAAGATGCTTTAGCAGCAGCATAGGGGAACTTCTCTGCTAATCAAGCACCTGGTTCTAGTCATTAGACTTTATCAGTTTAGTTTTGTCTCTGAAATTAGTACTGTGACAGAAACAACCTTTTCAAAAGCTTCATATACTGTATTTAACTTGTGAGTGACTCTTGAGATTAGTAATCATTTCCCTAAAATCTTTGGTAGTGTCTTTAAATGGTGTTTTCTTCTTTTTGTTTGTAACTGTATCTTATTACACTGGGGTGAGATCTGATGGATGTTTGTCTCTACAGTGACCCAGCAATGAAGCAGTTTCTGCTCTACTTGGATGAGTCAAATGCTTTGGGAAAGAAGTTCATCATACAAGACCTGGATGAAACTCATGTCTTTGTATTAGCTGAATTGGTTAACTTCCTCCAGGAGAGAGTAGGCGAGTTAATGGATCAGAACTCGTTTCCTATTACTCAGAAGTGAAAAGACAAGAGAAATGGGATTACTGGAAGGAAAGTGAATTTCAATAGCATGGGTTGTTTTAATAGATAACACTGTGATTTGTAAGTTCTACATAGAAGTGGCTACTCTGAAAAATGCATCATTTTCGTAGACAAAATACTCTGGAACTGGATTTTGTTTCTTATTTTGAAAGATTATGGTATCTTTACTAAAATCCTTAAAATTCTACAGTTGAGGACTTGCCTAAAGAATTTTTGATGCATGCTCTGTGTTTTTCCTGTAGGATTTTTATCTTGCAAAATGGTGTGACTCAAAAATTAGTGTTTATGCATTAAAATGCTATATGGACTCTTCTGACATGTTATGTTTCTGTAGAATTGTTTGACTCTGATTATAGTGTGACTGAAAGAAAGTAAAGCATATCTGTTAAAGTATGATCTGTGCTTGTTGGAACATCTCTGTAAGTTGAAGGCATGGTCAGATAGTGCTTTAACTTAATGGGTTTTATACACCAGAATGAAAGTCGGTGTGACTGTTTTATTGTTGTGGTTTTGTTTTGTTTTCCAAAAGTTTAACAAATGCCCCATACTACTTGCCTACTTTTACCAAATCACAAATTAAAGGGGTAACAGAAATGGGAGACCAATCCTATATATAATTGCTTTGGTCACAGTAAGCTATGTGATCAGGAAGGAGATTCACGTGCTCTACCTGCAAAGAGGAAAGCTGGTTTGGGATTTTTTTTTTTTTTGAGTGTTGTGTTTTTTCCTTCAGCTTAGCTCTTCCTCCCCTATTGCTTTTTGCTGCAAAGGAAAAGTTTTGTAGTTTCATAGTCTTTTGGGTTTTGTTTTGGTTTTTTGCTTTGTTTTTGTTTTTAGTTTTTGCATTGTATTTGTAACTCTAGTTCAGACACTGGCTTATTTAGTAAATGAGCTAGTGTATGATGATGGAATCTCTGAAGATCCCTTTTTGCAGGTCAGGCACATACAGATTACAGAAACAAGAAGAATAATATGTATTACTTTTTCTCTTATCCTACTTCCTACTCAAAATAGTAAAAATTGTTGGATCTATAAGTAATCATTGATATTCTGGGATATTACATCAAAGGGAAGCTTGGTTTTCAGAGCTTCTCATGTATATCAGACACGTTTTTATCTTCGGGGAAAAAACAAGCATAAATTGAAAAGCTTTTGTAAGGAACAGTTTTCCTTGCTGACTTTCCCACTGCTGCTTGTTTTTCTTGTCCAGTAGCTATCAGATTAGTTGGTGGGTTTGTTTTTGTTGTTTGTTTGGGTTGCTCATTGGTTTGTTGGGGGAGAGTTGTTTTGGTTTGTTTTTTTCCCCTCAGGAATAGGGAAGCTTCAGGAGAAAGTTTCACTAGATATTTTTAATCAAAAAGCTGTCCAAAGAAAGTTCTGTAGAATTGCATATATTCAGGCTCATGATGAGCAAACAGGCTTGTAGAATTTAGCATCATGTAATTTCTGTTTCCCTTCTTTGGAATTCTTGTTTGTTTTCCATCCAGATTTTGCTGAAAGGTAAATCATCCCCCACTCTTCCTTCAAATGACAGCATTTGAAAAGTCATGTGTGGAATTCCACCTCTTAAGCTTCTCTATATTTAGCATGTCTAGTGCTCCATTTCTGTTATGATTTTCCTTTTAGGTCTATAATAAACTTCTTGCAGTTCTTGGGTTTTTCTCTTGGTTAATTGCACAGCTTTGCTGTTGCATTACCTGTGCTTTGGCTTACATTTACAATTGATAATGGCTTATGTAATACAGACGGATAGAAATTCCAAACTGTATAAACTAAATAAGCATGTATTCTTATACTCTACTTGTAACTTTTTTTTTCTTATTTTGATCAAACAAGTTTATGGACTTTTAACTTCTAAACCTGTCAATAATTTGATCCTTTCTGCAACCTAACAAGGCCTAATTGATTCTGTACTGTAAGAATAAACAAACGATGTAAAGAAGCAAATTGGTATCATTGTATGTGGTCTAAGGGACTGAGTTCTTTGTAGTCCCTAGGGAAAAAAGGGTCTTAAATCACACAGTATGGTGAAGGAAATCCAATGAGGAAACTTGAGTAAGTATATGAATTAAACAAACAAAACACCCAACAGTTTCTGGTATTTGAATAAACTTGGACCTCTAAAAGGTTTTGATTTTTTTAAAATGCATACAATCCTGGAAGTTGCATACTTTAACAACAAAGAATAATTAAAAAAATATGTATCTATATTGCTCCGATGGGAGAAAAGTAGATACGAGTGTTGAAAATATCAAGACATTTTGAGGTAGTCAGCATTTACACTTTTTCATTTAGGTGTGAAATATTGATGAGTAGAGCTTGGAGTGAAACATAATAAGAATACATTTGAAAGACAAAGCATTTGAGAATAAAAAACTGAAGGAGATCTTTGTTAGTATATACATGTTTTGGTTATAGAGTTGATATTGTGAGAAAATTGGCTCTCACTCTATTTGAATATTTTATGTTAATTTAACATTTGTATCCATTACTAATAAGCTCACTTTTTTGCTAATATCTAGCAAAGGAACTTCACTCTGCTCAGCTTTTGCTTGAGCAATGAAAAGAGAACTTGAATGACAGACTTCTTTTTGCTGCTTGTTAAAGCACCAAATTTTATCTCACTTTCTGCTTTCAGTCTGAGTTGAAAATGTCTACTGGAAGAAGAGCGTGATTAGAACAATTACCTAAAGGACACTTATTTGAACTTCGTTTATTACTTGCTACTTATTTATACTTAAATCTAAAAAAGATTGCGAGTTCATTTATTTGCCTTTTGTGATGTAAGCCAAGTTGCACTTGGGTAGTTACTGTAACTTGAACATGGTCATAAGTAGTGCTTTCCTTAACACAAATACAGAAGCTAAAGACTAGTATTTGACAGAAAGATGAGAGATCTCTAAAGCAAGAGAAGAGAATTTGAATAATTCAAACAAAGTATGTTATATGGGAAGAGAAGGTGGAAACTGAAAATACAGCTTCCTGTTAAAGCACCTCATTTTTATTGAAAATTATACTATTGAGCATTTTGAGTTTTTTGTTCAAGTCTTAGATTTTTTTTTTTTGAAATTTATTAACGGGCTTCAAAGAAAACCGTGTAAAAAGCAAATAAGCCTAAATGCTGCCATATATTTAAATACTTAGACAAATTGTGGGATCAGCTAATTGTGGAGAGTGGGTTATTTTAGCATGGGTTTTGGCAGCACAATGAATATGATCCTGGTTAGTTGGTACAGATAGGGATTATAATAACTTAGTTTACTTGTGCCCAATTCATAAGTCCCCTCTCCTTCTCTCTGGTACAACAACTAGCCCAGGAAGAATAATTGTCCAGTGAACTAAAGGAGGAAATAACCAACAATCACTAGAGAGAATGGATGTTGCATCAAGAAAGAAAACTGTATTGAAAGAAAATAGAGAATGCTTCAGGGAATTCTACCAGTTTATCTGAGAGAACCCAGACTGAGTGGATTTGACTTTGTAGCTAAACTGCCAGTGTTGCTTCAGAAAATGGGAGGCATCTGAATCCATTTGAAATTACAGTGGTTTTGTTTACTTGTTTAATGTGCTTATAATGGTAGTTTGGGTTTTTTTTGCTATTTAGCACAAAAAGATCTAGGTGGCTGCGTGATGTGCTACACTAAACCTTCTCCAAGTGCTGTTGTACATTAAGAAATCCTATTTTACGGTCTTTCCAGGTTTATAGGGTGCATTCAAAAGCATATCTTCTGAGTCTCTTTTTTTTTCCTAATGTGCCATAACAACAGTTTTTACTGTTTTTTCTCACTCAACTCTGCAGGGCCACCTCACATATGCAAGAACAATGTAGAGAACATGTATTTTATGCATTAACAGGATTGTTTACTTTGAATTGAAGATAATGGTATTTCATGGTATCATTTAAGTGACTTGTGTTAACCTTTCTTAGTTGGCATCATCACCATAAAACTGTCCAATTTCAGTCAGCCCCTAGGCTGAACTTGCAAAAGTAGGACTCTAAAAAGCATATATAAATCTATGTAATGTGCATATGTTTATATATATATAATATATATATAAATAATATATATATAACATATATATATTATATATATATATAATATATATAACATAAACAAGTCTTTAATCATATAAACCACCACAGTGTGAGAGGTATATTTTGCTCTTCCAATCAAGCAATTGAAGAAAACAGTAAAGTTTTGTAATAAATTTTTTTGCAGTTCCAAGTTCCACACAAATTTCCACCCTGACTCCTTGATTATCCCACAAATGATCCTGTTAAAGCTGGTAGTGGTTACTGTAAAATGAGGCATTATATGTCAGAATTGGGTGTCTTGTGTGTGTTTTGTAATTCAGACTGTGGCAAGGCCTACAAAATTAGATTATACAAAATTAAGGATTCAATAAATTGAAAGTCATGGTGATGGAAGAACAAATTCTTCCTAAACTAAGTCATTATCTTTGGTCTTATGACTTAACAACTAATAAGAACTTTAAAATATAGGATATCTGACAGAAATGTGATGTGGAGCTGGGTTTTTTTGTTTTGCTCTTTTTTGAGTTTTTTGGGGGGGTGGGTTTTTGTTTGTTTGGGGTTTTTTGTTTGTTTTCGGGTGTTTTTATGTGGAATAGAAGTAGTATTCTACACATTGCTGTTTCAGGTTTTCAGAACTGAACAGTTGACAATTTGAAGACAGACCAGTAAGGGGAGCTCTTACCAACATTTTAAGCTGCTATTAAAAAAATTGCAGCCTGGGCTACGGTGAGTCAAAGACTTATGGTGCTTTGGAGCATTAGATAGGCAGCTAGAGATGAACATTCAACTTCAAAGGATCCTTCTAAAAATTTATTTGCTGTAGGAGATTTTGGAATGTAGTATTTTTAGCTCAGAAATTTCTTAGATGTTTAGTTATCCAATGTTTTCTTTCTGTGCTTAGGTACACAGTCATGTTACATTAAAAGGATGAGTCTGAAGTATGGTCTTCCCTTCAAATGTTAACTGGTAGGTCTGTGTATCTCCACACCAAGATCCTACTTTAGGAATTGTTCTAAGTAAAATAATTTTTAGTGGGTGCAAATCAAAAGAAGATGTTGTTTATAAGAAGTAACATTTATGCATTTTTTCCCTCTTTATTTCTTCACAATACAAAATGCGTGTGATTGTAGCGTAGCTGTTACTCAGAGCACAAGCACCATACTGTATGGAAGACATATACAACATTCAATCTTACTGTATTTCAGTCTGCGCTGGGGATTTCTGCATCCCTATCCCTCATCATCATGGCTAGGCTTCGCGAGCGAAGATTTGGGATCCCTATCCCTACAGTGTTGCTAATACTACATGGAAATGAGACACATGGAAAGTTTTTCCCTCATTGCCCCCCCCAAAATGAATAGCTTTATTGGTTTACACCTATATAAATGTAAAATTCAGTATGTTCTCTAAACAAACAAACAAATACCCCACAACACATACCAATTAAGTTTTAATAAGAAGGGGAAAAAAACCTCAAGACTTTGAATATTAGTGATTTTATTTCTCACATAAACAGAAAAAGTAATTTTCTCACTTCTGATTGCATAGCAGTAATAAGAAAATTAACTACAGAATAGAAACAGACTATAACATTGCTGTCAGTGAACAAATTTTAAAAGTGAAAATTTTAGAGTATTACTGTAAGCTTTTAGCTTTTTGTACTTGAGCAATTTTACCTGTTAGTAACAAGTATAAGGTTCCTGAAAGAAATGTCATTTTCAAATTAATATTTTTCTTTTTCCAAAATAAAAGCAGACTCATAATATCCATGCAGGAATGTGCCTGAACACACCAAAGAAAATCCATCCAACATCAAAACTGACAGATATTTGATTAGCCACATAACTAGCCCCTCAGGAAAGAAACAGCAAGCGAAATTGCTGGATGACTCTAGATTGAAGGAGTTGTCTGTCAGAGCTATACAGTTGTTCATTTTTCTATTACAGAAAAGATGGACCCCATTGTAAATTACAGGACACGCAGAACACTGGGTACACTTGCAGCTGTGAAAAGATCACTTGCAGATAAGGAAGTATTCTGCATTTCTACAATGTTGGCATAGGTGATACACTGTTAGTAGTGAGAGATGCACATACCAAACAAGGTCCTATGATCTGTCACCATTTTGTGTGTTCTGTTCCTGATATATCAAAGCTAGAGGGGTGAGATCAGAGGATGAAAATGCAAGAAGGCAGGAAAGAGGGGAAGAGTGTTTTAGGATTGCAGCTATTATTTCCTGTTAATTCTGAAATTGAACAAAATCAGAAGGAGCATAAAGACTAAGAGATTACACCAAATTAATTTTAATTTTGTATCCAAAAATAGATTTACAATTAACTAGAACTTAATTGGTTTACAAAAGGTCCTGTATTTATCATCAGAGCCAATGTAACACAAGGACTGGGAGGGCAAGTTTTCTTAATTTTATGCCTATTATTTTACCTGTCCTGGATGGGACCACTTTTTCACATGGAATGATAGTGTAGTTTTACTTCCTTTTAATCTTTGCATTCTCCAACACTGGCAACTCTACTGAGCATAAAATGTGTTTTGCATGTGTGTTGTATGTATATCATTAGATATACAGGTATTCCAGAAGCTAGAGATTCAGCAAGGATGAGTAACCCTGGAATAATTATGGCCTTCTGTATCATCAAAAACCTTGAAATTAAAATACAAAAGAAAAATCTCTCTTCAGCTGTAAAATGAAGCATGCTCCCTGTATTTGATTTTGCTTTTGGTCAAAACAAACATTATCTTTTCATTTTAGGAAAGTTATAAAGTCAGTATAAAACTGAAGACAAAAGAGGCGTGGTTTCTTAAGGAATATTTGGAATGGATATTGTTAAGCACAGCCATGACAAGGTCAGTGTGATAGAGGACTGTGACAGCTTTCTGCTACTGGCCAGGT